ACGGGGACTCTAATATTTTAAAGCAGTGTCTCTTACTTTGAAAGAAACATAATGAGGCAAACTAATGTCTTTTTGTAGGGTCTCTCAGGTGGGAGCTTTCTATAAGGCTATATAGGCTGTTATTAACCATGTGAAAAAATACTCCAAGCTTAGGTATGTCAGGGGTGTGTCAAAGGGCTCAAACCAAAACATCAAAACATGCCTCCGCAAAAATGACATACATTTATTCGTGTGAAGGGTTACATGAAAAGAGTTTCTCGGTAGTTCACGTGTGCTTTTAAATTAAATACCATGCTCACCTTCAAAATTTCAACTTCACATCATGTGTATTTGCAGTGCTGTGTGACTCAATCCAGCTGTGACTGGTTGGTCAAGGAAGAATTAGCATTACATTTATTTTCTCATGCATTTTATTTTATCTAGATTCTAGAGTTGAAAACAGGTTTTGTGTCTTTGTGTTTCCAGTGTTTTCTCAGTGCGGCCAAAGCAATACCGCCGCCTATAATAACTTTGCGATCAAGTATGTTGAACACCTGCGCGTGTTCTGTGGGACGTAGAAGCGGTTTTCAGACTTGAGAAGAAGTGCGGGATGGAGGAGCAACCTCAAGGACTGCAGCAGTCACAGAACAGAGAGGAAGATAATGAGAAAGATAATGAGGAAGGAGAGAACAATAAATAGATGGAGGAGGACAATGAAGTGGGAGAGAGGTAGAATCAGTCCCATTTCTATACACACACATACACACACACTTGCCATCAGGCCCGTGCGAAGCAGTGTTAGGCAGGTAATGGCTGGGCAGGCGTTACATGTCCGCCTATTTTAAGCCTGTATGCCAGCTTGTTACTCGACTCGGCTTTGCACTAGGGTGTGAAGTGTGCTGTGACATGTGTTCAGGAGGCGGGGTGATGTGAGAGGTGCGTTATATGTGTGTGTGGGTTACACATATGCCCCACTGAAATTTGTCTTTACTTTCTTAATATGTAAATTGGTACAAATTCTGCAGCAGTCGACAATGTTTCCACCCATTTGTTTCTGTTCACCTGGTGATTTGTTAAGTTAGCCCGTCACTTATCCATCATCTTATCTATCCAGCCATCCTTTCTATTCACCCCCTTCCCCCTTTTTTCTGTATGACACGAGAAGGGAAGTTTAATAGAGAAAGACTGCAACAGAGAGGGTGATGGAGATCACGGACAGAGATGGTGCGATAGGGAAAGCAAGGAAATGTGGGTGCTGTGAGATAAAGCAACAGGAATATATGGAAGAGAGAGAGAGGCCGGGCAGATAGGGAAATAGATCGGCGGCAGGAAGGGATGGTGATGAAGTGATGGAGAGTGTGAGGAGGAGGAGGAGGATGTGTGAGGAGGGTGTCTGAGCTGAGTGCAGGTGGGGTGGGGGATGAGAAAGGGAGGGAGAGGTGGAGGAAATGGATAGAAATAGCTGATGCACTCTGAGGCTTACAGAAAATCAATAGCAGTCAAGAGGGGAAGCCACAACCCCCACCCTGCTCCCTCTTCCTCTCCCTCTCTGACTGCTCTCTCCCCCTCCAGTCGTCTTCCTTATGTTTTTTCCTCCACTCTTTATCTTTCCCCACCTCCCTTTCCTCCTCAGTGCTCTCACCCTTTCATGTGCATTTCTAGCCTTGTCCTCTTCTTCTGTACTGCCACTTTGCCTTCTTCTTGTCCCCCACATTCTCTTCCCCAGTCCTTTCTGTCTCCTTCACACCCCCTCTTCATCCACACCTCCCATCACTGTTGTGCCGGCCTTGTCTTTCACCCTCTTTCCAAGTCATCCTCGTTTCTTTTACGGGTTGCTTCACGCATTAGACGGAATAATCCGTGTCCATTATTTTCTTAATTTTCCAAAACAAACAATTGAAGTCAATGGCAATTTTCTGCAGCCGGTGCAAGTATTTCAAATTGTCTGGTTAATACAGCAGAAAAGAAGATCACAATCGCATCCCTCGCTATGACAGACTCCTTCTCATCCCAAATTTACATTTAGCTTGGCAGTCTGTGCTTAAAGCATGCACTCACCTTCTAAGCTTGTTAGAAGTCTTCAAATAGTTACTGTAAATGAAAGCTGTCCATAAAAAAAACATGTTTGTAAAGGCCTCGACACACCAAACCGACATCAAAGAATGAGCGATGACGAAGGCCAAGTGTTGCATCGCCTCACTTCTCATGTGCCTCGGCCAAAAAGTTGCACTTGAACACAACACAAAGACTACAGCCAACAGTCGACCAGCACATATGTACTGCGCTGGTATGAGAGGAAATAACTCTCCGTATCGGCAGTCGTGATAGTCTGTATATTTCATTAAAAAAGGGAAAACTCAAGTTAGCACATTACCAACACATCCCAATGTTGACAGAACAAATGATATTTAACTTGCACTAGTGAACAATAACAATTAAGAACCATCTCTGCTAAAGAGCTCAGTAGCTAAGAAAATAATCTTACCTAATATAACAAGTGTGTTGAGATCTGACACCCTCTTGACGGTAGACGTTTGTTTGCTTCCCTTACTTCTGTTAATCTTCTTGTGCGTTGAGCTAAACTGCCGATGAGAGTGATTTTATGCACAGATGGGAACCGCCATCTCTGATACGGAATTGGCTGAAAACCAGTCTACAAAGGCCCACAAGGGCTGACTGGGGCAAATGGTTTAGGACACACTGCACCAACTGGGGGGACAGATCCTCACCGATTGCCTTACAGTGGCTGAAGGCCAACTGTTGTCTTGATGTGTCAGGGCCCTAAGGCATATGATTGTTCAATGTAATACGTGTCCATTTCAGATGGGCTTTCCTTAATCTAAATCTTAAATCAACAATAAAATCTTAAATAACAATTACTTAACCCCTGGTTCCTCTCCTCCACCCATTTCCTTTTCTTCACTTCACTTCTTTTCACTACTTCCCACCAACATATGCAACATTGACATCGACTCTGCCTACAGTGTGTCTGTTTTGTGTGTGCATAAGTCTCCAGTATCTTCCCTGACAAGAGTGTGTGTGTGTGTATTTAAAGTATTAACATATTTTAAAGTTTATAATATTCATGAAATCACCCATATTAGCATTTTCTAAAATTTCCTAGATGTAGGCGAAGAAATTACCGTCTCCGCACACATTGAAATTCATACCGCAATCCCACTATTCAACTTTCCTTGAGGCCCTAAGTGTAGACACTAAACTGTGTGTGCTGTGCTGTGTGCAGTCTGTTAGTCCAACAGTGGACATGATGTCATCGAAACATTTTAAACCTGTTCTGTAGCTTCTGTGTCGCGCTCTATAGAGTGACTCCGACTGAATGACTCGTCTCTGACTCAATTTACCAGAGTCCGACAATGTGCAAGTGAGACCATATTCAGGGTAGGAGCTGGATTTTTGCCTATTGTCACCGGTGAATGAGTGTCGTACAGAAGAGCGCTATGCAGCCGGCGAGTCCCATGAATGCTTCACCAGTACTCCGTCCCAAATCATCTCGGTGAAAATAGCCTTTTAGCCGGTTTTCACTTCACTAATGTAAGCTTTACTTAACTCAACCTTTTCAATCCATTTATTTTGCCTGCTCTAGGGATTGGAGAGGAAATGCTTTTTTAAGGATTGAGGAGTTTTCAGTTGTGAAAACCTCACTCTGTCTGCCTCTTCTTTCTCTTTCTCTCCCCCCTCTCTTCTTTGTTGTCAATCACAGCTTTTCTTCAAAGAGGGAGGCTGTGAGCAGGAAAAATCCCACAAACAAACAGCCGAGAGGTGAAAAATGCTCTTTTAAAAAGGCCTTTTTGCATCTATTCCCTTCTACTTTAGCTCTCTTCATCCCCATCGTAAAGGTAGCCTTGTCTGGAGTGCCCTTGGGAGTGCTTACCCTTGGTGTGTACACCACTGCCACCATCTGTGGTGAGGACGTCCCCAGCTAAAGACGTGCCCATGACAAAGGGAAAAACAAAAGCCAGAATGAATAGAAAAGACAATAAAAAGATGAAAGGATTGTGGAAAAACAAAAGAGTAAAAGTCTTAGCTGTGATGCAAGCGGCGGTATCATCAGAAAGCTTCTCTAATCCAGGATTACTGTGTTTATTTTGTGTGTGTGTGTGTGTGTGTGTGTGTGTGTGTGTGTGTGTGAACCTACATCCACTGCCTCTGATCTAAGACTATACCATATGTGTTTTAGTCACTTTTGTGCCATACACACGGTCAGCACCCATTCTCACAAACATGTTGTCATTGTTTTTTGCCGCTGTGTATTAAATCCAAGTTGCACAGGAACAATAACAACAAAAGGATTAAACACACTGCGTGTAGATAAACAAGAGTCTCACCACAATGCCTGGGTATAATGGTGCTATCAGTTTCAACAAAGGTATTACCAAGATGTTTTGTATATTGTATTGTAAAATAATACACAGTACAGTGATAATTAATACAGGAGCCGTATCCATACAGGTGCCAGGGCTCATCTGTAAATATGGGAAAGTGTTGAAAAGCAACTTAATGGTTTCTCTGCTCACATCACCTTGAGGTCTTTGTTTTTATGTCAGATGCATCTGGTTGGTGGTCCAAATTGAATCACACTTAAAAAAACAACAATTTATACATTTCTTCACACTGATAATTAATCATAATGTATGAAAAAATACACGTTTTCAACAATTTCCAGTTTTGTGTGGGGGGAATATAACTCAACTTACATGGTCTTACAAGCACTGAATGCCTTAATGTTCTGGCAAATGAGCTGATGCTCTGTTTTAATGAGACATATACGGTGATGAAACTTTTTTTTATATATTGATGTATTTGACATTCCAAACAAAATCTTGCATTGAATAAAAACGAATTCATTAATGAAAATCAGATGTGTAACAGTTATGAAATGTAGAGCATGTAGGGTCCCTGAGCAAGAATAACACTTTATATAAAAGCGAAGTTATAAACACTATGCTCTACACACGTAGGTATATGTCTCACTGTGTTTTCCCTTTACCTTCTCTGTGTAGGAGCCTCTGGCGGGTCCTACCACTGCCACCCCGATCATGCATACGGAGAGGAGAGCGATAAGGTAAGCCACACACTTAACACGCTTACATGTCATGATACAACATAAGAAGTTAAGTTGCACCCTATGCAGTCTGATTGAGCTCATGCTGTGCAATGACTCAATATTAGATAATTCTTCTCTGAGCTGTTGCTGGGTGAAGGACTGAGTCGCATACACAAAGAACTAGTTCCCAGCAGTGTGTGCGTGCGTTCGCGACATATATACAGAGTGCAGTGTGTGAGTCTCCTGCTCCCCCAGTGAACTCATAGTTGTCTCAGAGAGTAGGAGGCTGAGTTGTAGCCAGTAAAAATGACTGGAATTATTTTGGTTGTGGTGCTGCCACAGCCATGAACTCAAGCAACCTATGGCTTTCACTCATTGTGGTGTGGAATATCCACTGTCAGAAAATGATGACTTGTAAAATTTTGTCCAATTAAAGTAACTTGAGAATTTCTGCTACAGTTGCATCAATGGGAAACACTGCTTAGGCTGAAATAACTAAATGACAATGTAAAAAGTTTTTCAGCAGAATTTGAGCTATTTTGATTGGAAGTTTAACTCTCAGGTTGTTAATCCTATTTATTGTGTATATGCTTTTAACAGTAGTAACTCCTTGAGAAAATCAAACACAGCACAGTTTGCAAATCTCAACTCTGCTATATGTTTAGCAAATGCTGAAGTATGTTTATACAGTATACGTTCTACACATTATACAAGCCTAGAGAGCCTGCATACAGAGCATGAGCCTGTGGCAAGTATGTCCCCTAAGGATGGAGAAATGTTACGTTGTGTAAGCATATTCCTTATGAGCTGTTGTGCTCACATCGCTCAACGCAGTTTTTGTTTTTCCTTCTTTTCATTTCATTAAAAAGGACATTGTCGGAGCTGACCATGCTTTTAAGTGATCAGTCAGTTGTGGAAACTTTTTGTTTTATCAGCTGATTACTGGAATGAAACATCCATGCACCCCTCATGTCTACAATGTCTACACTTAACATATAGTTTTTCTCAGACAGTGCTTGTTATTTATTAGACACTATGAAATTAAATTCACAAGAGAAAAGTTTACATATTGCACATTTTAAGCACAATATCACTGATCATTTTGAAGCAACCAATGTCAGATCAGTGCACCTAGCTGGCTAACCTTAGCTTCTCTGCTTGTTTGGGCAGGCAAAATCCTATCTGAGTGGATACGACAGTTGGCTAGCTTACCAAATAACTTCACCAGCTAACTTATCCATGATACTAACTTGTGTATTATGACAAACAGTATTGATTTAGCCAACAATAAATGAAGCAGTGGTACAAAGCGCTTTCTACTTAAGCCAGCTAGCAATAAATTAGCTACTCAACATAGATCTGTCGTTTGTAGATTCATAATGTTGGATGATAAAGTAATTTGCAAACAGCAAGCTACCTAGTATCATGGAGCCAATGGTCCAAATGAAATATAGGAACACTGCCAACAGTTTCGTTAATCTGAATATGATTTTAACTAACTCTCCAGCATTCTGTCAACATGATGTTGATCTATCTGGCAGGTGCTCTCTCATGGCTTCAGAGTGCGAGCACCGGAGCGCAAGCAATAGGATGATGACTGCAGTTCACGTAGGAGCCTCAGAGAGAGGTGTCACTAATAACAAGGCTTTTCTGAAAGTTACAGACAGAACCTTTAAAAAGCAAGCAGACGAAGCAGAAAACGGCAAAGAAGGAGAAGAGGGGAGGCAGGATGCTGAGGAAGGTGTTGCAGAAAGCTTTGAGGGAGAGAGGGGAAAGGAGGGAGGAGGGGAGGGAGGTGAGGCCAAAAACAGGGAGGGGGTATTGCTAATGATTTCACCTCCAGCTGTGGGACTTGGTTGGAGTGAGGGAAGGGAAAGGAGGGGAGGGAGGGGGAGGAAGGGAGGAACAGTGGCAGAGGAAACAAAATGGGCTTTGAAATCTTGTTGATGGAAAGAAAATAAGTGGGGGAGGGAGAAGTGTTTGAGTGTTAGTGGAAGCATGTCTGCAAATATTAATGAATCTGTAAAAGCAAATGACCATATTTGCTCAGTGTGCAGTGTGCACATTCATGCGCAATTTCTAGGGCACGAATGCTGGAAAAGAGAAACCTGGGCTCAGTTGTATTTCTTAGGTGTGTGATCGCATACACTCAGTACACTCTCTTTATTTTGGTTCTCAGCAATGACAGCGAAGCCACAACAGCTGCTGGCCACAGTTACAGTGTGTGTGTGTGTGTGTGTGTGAGAGAGAGAGGATGCATGCACATCCCAAATGTGGACATAGTGAACTAGAACGTGGTAGGGTGTGTCTGTACTCATGCTTTAGGATATCTGCCCAGCCTGGTGTGTGCACATGCTGAATGTGGACACAGTGAAAGGATTGGAGGGTGTGTATGTATGTGTGTGTGTGTGTGTGTGTGTGCGTGTGTGGTCTCCACACTGTGAGCACTGCAGAATGTGCTGTAATATCAGCCATAGAGCTGTTCACAATGTTTCTGGGCCGCGCCAGGAGTCACCGTGTGTGTCTGTTTGTGTATCTATCTATGTGTGTGTGTGTGTGTTGAGCCTCTGAGAGTCAGCAGTTTTTTTTCTCTATTTTTCTGGCTTTAGAGGAAACATGTTTGGACCAGACGTGTGTGTGTTTACGTTCACAACCAGCACTCTATTAGAACATAAGGCCACATTAAGGCATATTGCTTGAGGACACACACACACACACACACACACACACACACACACACACATGCACACACACTCCTTTGTCTGACACCGCTCCCCTCCAACTAACGCGGGCAGACAGGCCCATCAAACTTTCATACTAATGGGCAATAGTCTGCATGTGTTAAACCAGTGTGTGTATGTGTGTGTGTGCTTCTGTGTGTGCGTCCTGTCTAAGAACTTCTTGTCTTGTCCCCTCAGATTTTAAGTCGGGGTCTTGGACAGGATAGGACAGACAGAGGAAAAAGGGGGTGGGAGCAAGAGGAAGAGGGGGTTCAGCTTATCTGATGGAAGGAAAGGGGGGGATGGGAGGATGTTGTTGAGGAGGGTGGGGAGTGTGTGAGGAGGGAATATGTCAGGCTTGGGATGGAGGGGGTGGCTTAGATATGAAAATGGGCACAGTAGATGTCCCTAGGGTGTTGGTGTTGGGGCTAGGCTGGTACAGAGGTTGTGGGGTGTCGGTCGGAAGAGAGGGGGTTGTTGTTGAGAAGAGCAGAGAGGTTTGGGGGTTGGGGTGGATGGCTGGTACCCTCCAGCCTGTGTAGACACGGGCATAGATAGAGTGCGCCTTCCATGTCATTTTTTATTATAGTGTGTATCATAGCTTTACTTAATGAAGAAGTTAAGTATATATCTTTTTTTTAATTTACCAAAAAGAATATGCAGAATTTTTTTAAATGTGTCTTTATGTCCAAATCTCTTTGTGTAGGACTCATCCTATGCTCAGACACTGTACATTAAATTGCATTTTGGGCGAACAGATTGCAATCAGACTGTGTTTGAACACATGGAATCATGGATGTACTGTGATCACACTTGAGCACAAGTGTAAATGCGACTGCATTTTCAAGCTACATACAACAACTACGTGGGCTGAAATACATAATTGCGCGCAACTATTCTAAACCAGTGAGGCAGCAGCCAATAGCAAGTTAGTGAGCTAAGCTACCAGCAGGAAAGCTTGGGGATATTCAAGACACTTGTGGATGGAGTGAAGACAGAAGTATACAAGATCTCTGCAATTTATGAGGCAGTTGCAAAGAACAGTTTTGAGCAGAGCGATCTGATCTCAGTGTGGGCTCAGCGCAGCCAATCACTGAAAGCGCTCTTTGATTTAACGGGATGTGTGATTGGCCCACTACCGCAGCAACTACAACCCATACAGTCTGTGGTGGGTGAAGTCGGGCGCGGTGCATTTGACAGAGTTGACAGTTCAGTGAGTCAATATGCCACCAAAATGTTTGCAAGTATGACTACACTACACCCCTGTGGTATCTGGTGACATTTTATGTAACCCAGATCTTCCATTCACATGATGGGTGTCAAATGAAGTAGAAATAAAAGGGATCAAATGAGGTGCTTTGATGGTATTTGTTTCACTTTAAGAATACTGGTTTTGGTACTGGTATCGTTTTTAAAATGACACCCCGCCCTAGTAACAACTATGAATGTTAGAATTGTTCAAGGCTGCGACATGTGGGAATGAACTGGAAACAACTGTGTCTGAGCACAAACAGTATGAATAAAAAATAAACATAAAACCAAAAATCCTTGTCAGTTATGTAAAAAATGTTTGGGTCATTCCACTGCACTATTTCAAAAGCTGGCTGGTAAATATATTCTACTGTTACTTCCAGAAAGAATGAGGGAACAAAAATGTGTTTTGAACTACGGAAAGGGCAGGTGAGGATGCCTGTAGGTGTAATACAGTTTTGAAGGCGTTGGGACAGGCTCACCAATGCATCAGTCATCTTAGAAAAAGAAGCTCAGGCGTGGTAATTTGGATAAGATACATCTTTATTGTCAGTGTACACTGAAATTCAGAAGAACAGACATAGACTGACACACTCCAAATCTTGGTGTGTAACCCTCGATAGGAGCCAAATGTGTTCTGTCATTAAGGGTCTGGTGCGCCCTGAGGCTCCACCAAGCTTCTCCTCTCTGTAATCTATCTCACACACTCCTTCTATCCATACTTTTCCTTTTCTTCCTTTGTCCTTTCTGCTTTCCATTCCTCTTCTATCACTCAGTCCACTCTGGTCAAGAGTTAATGAAGTCATTGTTATTGTTTGTCTTTCCCATAAGCTGGTCAAGCCCAGGTCACATCCAGCACTACGAGCGAGCGATAGAGCCATTAGTGTACAGTGTATTTAGGCCTTACAGTCAAAATACATTTCATCCATGTTTGTTAGAACAGCAGCGTCTGCCTCTAAAGAGCTTCAGAAGGTATTGTTCTTTATAGGCTGTAGAACTCAAACAGTGGCAGCTGCCCATGTGTGAATGTGAATTTGCGCATGTCTGCGGGCGTTTCCATAACTCTGTGTGTGTGTGTGTGTGTGTGTGTTTCTGCAGCCTGCTCTCCAGCTGTTTCCTGTTAGCTATCACACTGCTCTCAAGGTTGCTGAGCTGTGTATGTGTGTGTCTGTGTGTGTATTAAAAGTCACAGCCGCTGAGTCATTTTTATCACACTTTTACAACGTGTCTCTCCCACGAAGAGGAGAGGTGGAAGCACGGATCAAGTAAGTGGAGGGGGGAAAAAGTGTTGAGATGGTAACTATGAGGAAATGTGTGTGTGTGCGTAGAGTCTCTGTGGTGTCTCTTAAAGAACCGATGTGTTCTTCAGAACACAGCTAAGGTCTGCGTTAGGGCAAATGACTAAGAACTGACACATGAGCGTGAGTGTGTGTGTGCTCTTGCCTCACCAAGTGCCAAGTGTGAGAGTCACTGCTTGACTGTAAGTGAAGTGACTCACAGATGAGTTGATAGGGTTGAAACAGAGTATATGATAACTCAGTCCAAACCTGGATGAGTCTGTGTTCAGCTATGTCACAGTCTTTCTGCATATCACTGACTTTTTTTGATTCTCAGAGAAAAAGTATTTGTTGAGCTCTCCAGTTGAGGGTGTGTTCGTATGACTCGCACATGGACTTGTGAGTGCTTGTCTTGCGTTTGCATTTCCTCACTCCAAGAGGAAGTGACTTTGCAGCCTCAGGGCCTCTGAGCGCTGGTGGTGTAATATGCTCTCTTTCACACACACATGCACACAAATGCATATGAGCACACACACTCTGGATCATACAGGAAATGCCATGAGTCACAAAGGAACTTAGTGTCTATGCACTAGTTTGGATTGTAGGCTAGAGGGACTGTAAAGCATGGTGAAATTGATTTGATACGAGTGCTATGGGTCACTAACCACAACACTCATCCTCTCTCCCACTCTCCTTTCCTTCCCTCTTTTCCCCTCCTCTGTTCTCCGCCTCTCCCTCTGCAGAGTGAGGAAAGCCCCAGTCCAAAGCGCCAGAGGCTGTCCAGTCAGTCTGTCTTGGAACAGCTAACCTCATCCGCCCCCCCACCATCCACTCCATCTCCCCCAATCCGCCCCTGGGAGTCAGGACCCCCAAGTCGGAGACAACCGCACCCCCACACACACTACCACCAGGAGAGATGCCTCACTCCTGCTCGGCACAGACGCAGGTAAGTTGGTTTCTTGGTTTCCACAACTTATGCCAGCCATACACTGGAAGACTTTGAAAAGACTTTGAAATTACTTAAAGTCTGAAACCCTCTCACATCTAAAGACAGTGTGAGTTTTACAGTTTGGATTTTGTCGCCTCAACTCTGTACTGGCCTCTGTTGTTTGTCAGTGCTATTTTAGTGGAAGAAGACTGTGGAAATAAGAGGCAAACCTTTTCAAAATTAAGATTTCTCACTAAAATAAATGCCGACAGGTGGATCAGATACACACAGAAATAAACATGGACTCCTGTTCAATTCACAGCTCAACCAGTTTCTCCTCAGTTTTCACAGTACAAGAGAACCTGAAACTTGTTCACATTCTTGCGCCTCCTCAGAGTCCCCTCCATGTTTACTGTCCACTTGCTTTGCTATGTCTTGTTTGGTGAAAACTGCCTACAATGGTGAAACCGTTACAAAAGTCTATGGTGTAAGGCTGGCCTTAGTTCCACTGTAAAAAGTAAACTGAGTATCCCAAATGTAAACCTGTCCCTCTCTTCCCACCTCCAGCCCGCCAGCAAGGCGACAGCGTGGCCGTCTCTCCAGACCCACCCGTCACTTGCCTCCCCATCACCACCCCTCCACCCAAGGCCCCGCACCTCGTCTGTCACCATCAGAGCACCAGGATGAAAACTACCACCACAACCTCCATCCCTCCACACACCAGACATACCCAACCCACACGCCCAGTGCCTACGGCCAGCCTCCCACAACTGGAGGTGCGGGCGCAAGTTTGGAGGAGCCCCGAGCTTTCCACCCTCCCACCTTGTCGCCGCGACTACTGCACCCGGCTGCTCACCACCACCACCACCCCCATCATCATCATCACCATCATCATCATCAGCAACAGCATCACGCAACGCAACAACAGCAAGGAGCCATGGTCATGGACTTGCATGAACAGGTAAGTCTGCAAATACTTTCAAGTTATGTGTGAGACTGACATGAGACATTGTTTGTGTGTGTGTGTGTGTGTGTGTGTGAGAGAGAGAGAGAGAGAGAGTGAGAGGCTGCATATTAACTGTGGTGTGTTTTCTCCCTTAGCTGCAGCAGGCCAGTGTACCAGTCTCCTACACAGTGACCCCAGTCCCTCCACACGGTCTCGCAGCACCTTTGTGTAGTGGCCAGCACCTTCCCCCTACCTGTTCTTCACAACAACAAGTCCCCGCCTGCAGTGTGGTCTTCAGCACTGGACAACACTACCACCCGGTGAGAGGAACACAGCAGCGTGCAGTTTGTAGGAGTGTGTGGGTTTGCTTGCTAATAAAAACAGTACACTTTGTGCTGCACAGTCTTACTTTCAACTTAACCACAGAAAAAGTTCTCAAAAGGAAAGTGGGGTAAAAGTAAACCTACAGAATGGCTCCCTGTCTGAGGGGGCTTATTATCTTCCAGGTCTTGGCTGCCACCTTGTGGCAATATATGGCACATTGCACATGCATTTAAAATGTTTCTCATTTTCTTTCCTTTCTCTTGTTCTCCACCACTTTTCCAGATGCTACCGGCGTGTTCAATGCAACATTTGCCGGTGCCGTATGCCTTTCCCTCGCTGCTGTCCAGTGACCCTCAGTTCCTGCTTCCACATCCACCCCACCTCTCCCACCACCCACCCCATCTCCCCACACCCGGACAGTTCCTGCCTTTCCAGACGCAGCAGCCACGATCGGTACGTGGATGGTTTATGTTTTTATAGTTTATCTGGTATTTATTTATTTTTACTTGGGTTATTCTGTGCGAAAAATAACGCCAACACATGAACTTGGGTTTGTAAAAAGGAAACCATTAATATGGGTGAAGTTTTTGTTTGCTAACCAGTAATTGTAGACCTAAAAAGCAATTCTAACTAATAATGAATCCCCAGGTGTGATAGTTTTCTTGTCCGATAACAGCGGGATATCTTCTACCTAGAAATTATTAATTTATTATCATTAAAATACCTTTGGCCCAGTTATTGTGCCACCACTATCATGACATAATTGATAACGTAGTGTGTTTCTTCTCAGCCCTTACAAAGGATTGAAAATGAGGTTGAGCTTCTAGGAGAGCAGCTTTCAGTAGGTGGAGGCTTCAGCTATGCCCACCATCACCACCACCATCACCACCAGCCTCCCTCCACTCTGCCGCCCTCCACCCCCCTCCAGTTCCTTTCACACCATGACCCCCTGTCGCAGGAGCTCTTTACAGTGGTGAGTACAAATTCATTACCATGACATCATCATCATTTGTTTGGATTATAATATACAGTTATGGTAAAATGAAGCTTTAACGCTTGGTTGAATAAATTGATTTTCTTTTCTTTGTCCCACCTTTCACAGCCCTATCCCCACTTTATGCCTCGACGATTCACAAGCCGGCGATACCGCTCTCAGCAGGCTGTACCGCCATCACCATACCACCCCAGCTTCCTGCCTTACTTCCTGTAAGTGTTTTTCACTTCCTCAAATGTATGTTGGAACTGCCCAGGTAAATTTGCAATTAATTTGAATATAGCACAGAGACGTATCAAATTAATTTTGTGTACCTTGTCTTCCAAATACAGGTCCATGCTTCCTATGCCCCCAAATGTGGCCCCCACTATCAACCTAGAGCTGGATGTAGACGACGGAGAGGTGGAGAACTATGAGGTAAGACAAATTGTAGCCATAGCATTCAGCAGCATTCAGTACATTAAAAAAATAGTAATAATAATACATGGTACAAGGTAGGATTTCATTGAAGTCTTTATAAGGGACTTTTGTTCTCATCCCATATATAACACATGTATAATTTGTTATCCAGTTGCTACCTGTCAGTTTCCATACAGCTTTAACAGTTTATGAACATGGCCAGAACTTTGTTCTCTAAACTTAATATTTCTGTGTGAACCCCTCAGGCCCTTTTGAACCTCGCAGAACGTCTAGGAGAGGCCAAGCCCCGTGGTCTTACTAAGGCAGATATAGAACAGCTTCCATCATACAGGTTCAACTCCAACAACCATCAGTCTGAGCAAACACTGTGAGTACCTTTCTGCCTTTAAAAATTCTAATGTGGTGAAGAATCTTTCATGTGGGTGGCTGTAGGTGTGTACAAGATGCTGTTTTAAATGACACCAACCTTGCTTTGTTTTCCAGGTGTGTGGTATGTATGTGTGACTTTGAGTCTCGCCAGCTCCTGAGGGTCTTGCCGTGTAATCACGAGTTCCACGCCAAGTGTGTAGACAAGTGGCTCAAGGTGAGTAAAGACACTCAGCTATTTGGGTAACTGTAAATGTATGGACTGTTTCCCACTTTGCCCTTAAAGCCAGGTCTCACCAGATAGTTACACAGTGAAATTCATCCATGTGTCTTTGCATAACATTTAATTCTGGAAGCTTGGTAATGTAGCGACTACCCACAGGACTAGTTGGCGAACTACTGTAGATAGTGAGTAAATGGCTGACATGCTTGCCAGCTGGAACATGCTACCACTAGTCTGTCACAATAACTCTCTGGGCTTGTTTCTGTTTCATCAGTACAGGGCCCTGGTGTTTAGTTTTCAGGATATTACATCTTTTCATTTAATTATTGAAGGGAGAAAAAGGCTTTCTGAGTTAACAAGCTAGCTAACTGACAGTTAGCAGACATTTAGCTTCCATCCATAGCTACCATCAACTCCTGTCTCATACTGTTTACAAACCATTCCTGTTGGTGGAGCAGTTTTCACTCTGACATGTAATATATATAACGGTTCAATAGAAGAAGATGGAGCGACACAGCTAATAAGCGATGATAGCTTCATGGGATTTAGACTCTTGAAATCAGCAATGTCAAAACTGATATTTGACAGATATTGGTGTAGCTATAGCTTGCTGTTGGTCAGTGCTGTAAATTTGGGTGTCTACGTTTACAAAAATTGAAATTTGTGTCAGATTTACTTCATGCTCCTATAAGCAGATCCTTGATTGCTACAGTGCAAGTCCTTAAATTCTGGTGTGACTGGGCTTTTAATCAGCTGACTTCTAAACGGCTTCCATAAACAAAAATTCAACACTTTTTTAACCGTGGTGTTCACATCTAATATGTATTCATATTTTAGATAAATGTGTTTTTATCGGTTTAACGCTCACCTCCTTATTTTTCGTTCTCTCCAGGCTAACCGAACCTGCCCTATCTGTCGAGCCGATGCCTCTGAGGTCCAGCGGGATTCCGAGTGACCTCATATCAACACCCTGAATCCCCGACTCCCCTTCTTGGATGCACCAACCAATCAATGAACTTCTCTCCCTCTGTCGTACGCCTCCGTTCACACATTCTGCCACATAACTGGGACCAGTGCTCCTATTTCCTTTCACTCTTTATCCCCCAGGACACTGAACAGTAACTCTCACCTGGGATCAGCAACTTTCTACTGACTTGTGCTCACTTTATCGCTGGACTTCCTAGGCCTTCTGTTTGGACTATTACGCCCCTACTACTCTGCCTTCTGCTCATGGTTACCCCTTACTAAGAATTGCCTTTGAAACACATACACTCAGTGTCATGTGCAGGTGGACATATATATATATATATATATATATATATATATATACATATGTGTATTTTTTTAAACTTGTTACGAGCCCTTGACAGAAAGAAAGACTTTCTTTGAAAAACGTCTGTATAGTTGTACTAACAAACATTTAGGGAGAATTGGCAGTCCAAAGATTATAATAATTCCATTGTTATTGTTGTGGTTATGATTAAGCATTCACATCTTGGCTTGCAGAGACTGTCATTTTTACTAAACCCATTATAATTGCAGTTGAACAGTATCAGTCCATTTTAATATCTTTATGTGTATTCTTGCATTCCTTGGCGTGAGAGCAGTCTGTATGGGGTGAAACAAAGATACTGTACACTGTATCAAAGAGTGAGCGACTTTGGAACAGTGAAAAATAGACTTTATTTTCTCTATATGTGTGTCTGTGTGCAAGTGTGTGCCAGTGTGTGTCCTTGGGCTTGTGTGTGTGCGCGTATGTGTGCGTATGTGTTACTCCTCCTGTGGTATTTATACAGTACATGTGGTACAGTGCATTGACTTCCTTAATCCTGTTTTTTCCACTCTACTTCAGATAGATTTAGACTCACTGGAAGCTGAGGGTAACTTCAGACCTTTTATAGCCGAAATCTGTTCAAAAATCAAAGTTTAAAATCAGAGTGTAGGACCAGGAACACCTCCACGGAAGTTAACAATGCTTTTATGTCATGTTTCTTTCTTTTTCTTTCTAAGCCAAGCATCATTGACACACTTCGAATCCCATCACTTCATGTCTGGCCATCTGCATTGTTTTTGTCCCAAATGAGTAAAGGAAACAGATAGGGACTATTTTTCTTTATTTCAACACATCCACCAAGCTCTCCCCCAAGACACATTTATGTGAATATAGTTGGATCTTACAGGGCTGGCAAGGTGGATGCAAAACATTCATGAAAACTGTCACTGAAATACTCACACATGCTCAGTTTAATAGCTTTCTTACGGGAATGAGGCCTTTGAAAACACGCATCTATATCTGTCTTATATCTGCACCCATGCAGCGTTTTGTCGGTGTTGGTAGATATACATGCAATGATTTCTCCATCATTGACAGGGAACAAGTTTGAAGAGACTTAAAAGGTCACAGCTAAATCTACTGTTTCAGCAGACGGTAGATGTGACACTTCAGCACTTTAATACGTAGATTTAAGACCTACACGCTCTTTTCATTCTGAACAAACCACTGATCAGTTTCCCACAGTCCATGTTTGTATGAGAACAAACATTCAAATGCATTAAATACATGTATGTTCTCCACATTGACTTCTAGCACCTACAGTATCCCAGTATGTCAGTTCCTTTATATTCTCACTGCACATCTGTCTGTTTTTCAGAGTTTTTGGGGCTCAGTTTCTTCACAGTTCTTTATCTCTGTAAGGCCCATGTCAGCATGTGATAATGTAACTCAGAGATGTTCACCTCATGCAAAGAGCAGGCTTCAAATGTAAACATGGCCGCAAGCAGCAGTCCTGGGTTCAGCAGCAGCTCAGTTGTCAAAAGCAAAGCCACAAGTAGCAGTGAATGGGTTTCAGGCTTCAAAAAAACTGAGCAAAGTCACTTTGGCTGGCCTAATTTTCATTAGTTTCTCACACAGTTGTTTCATTGTTACAATGTAAGCAACACTTAAATAATTACACACTTAAAGCCCCGCCCTTTGCTCTGCCTTTATTGGATGTGAATGAACCTTTGGATGCTTGTTCAGGATGTAGTGCTGGATGTCTCCACTGAGTTTAATTGGGATTCCCCCAACACAGCTTGACTTATGGCCTATTTCCTGCTAAGCCCTGCCCTTTGCGAAGACTTTTTGACTGATGCCTGCCATGTTTTTGACCGGTCTTGCTCATTTGTAACAGAATTGTGTAGCTCCGTCCTGCAATGCTGGATACCGAATTTGTATTGATACAGTCAAATCTAAAAAAGTAGATGTCACATTGCTGTTTGTCGCTTGTGCAAATTAGCAACAATTCCGTCATGGTCGCCTTTATTGTCCGAGAGGCTTTTTGTTGAGCACATTGAGGTGTAGATGTTATTCAGACTTAGGTAGTGTGGGGTTTGGTCTTTAAAAATGTTAAAATATGGGTCCACCATCAAGCTGATTGGGATCAAATTTGATGTGAAGCACTGGGACATCGTTTCCACCATTGGTGCCAAGTTTTGTGTCTCTAGCTTGTTCCAGCTCACAGCAAATTGAGCAGCACCATGAAAAAAAAGACTAATAGGCCATGCCCACATGCAAGTATCAAAATGACAGGTCAGATCCTTGTTAATACTTATCCCCACAGTATGTGCACAAAATTTGGTGAAATTCTGTCCCTTGGGTTTTGAGGTACAGTTCTTGCATTTGTGGCACCCTCTATGGGTTGGGCTCATAATGCCTGGGTAGGCCTGTTCCCCAACACATACTGAAGATATCCACCAAGATTTATGATGATGAGTTATGGCCAATATCCTGCTCATCCCTGCCCTTTGCAAAGACATTTTGATTGGTGTGTCCTGTGCTACTATGAATACTAAATTTTCTGACACAAAATTACAGTGGTGCTAATTTTATTTTAACCATTAAACATGGGCAGAGTAAAGTAGATACCACTTCACAGTGAAATGAAACATGTTCAGGAACATATACAGACATTTATTGACCATTAAAAATAGTTTCATCACAAACTACACTTTCCCATCTCATCACATGTGACAATACATTACCTTCCCTTCATCCTTGCCTCCACATGTTGACATCTGGTACACTCTCCAGCAGTCATCAAAGTACCAGGCAACAAAAACTGCACAAATACTGTATTGTATACCAGGACCAACAATGATGTAAGAAGTGTTAATTATCTCTGGCTTAAAATACATTTAATGTCCACTCGAGGGGTGTGTCCAAGTAAACGTCCTGCTGGTGCAACTGATCCACTTAAGGAACCACTTTTGTGGGCTATGTGTGACACGTTCGCTATTTCTCTACTGCTTCCCACAGGCTCTGGTAAACATTTAGGTGTTCAGAGTCATCCTTTATTTTTTGGCCTCAGGGTGGTGCTAGGGAAAGGTAATAAAGTATTTTATATCAGCTGTTTGTTTTTTTTCTCACAGAAGTACATGACTTTCTGTTTTTTTTTAATGAACTGTATTATTCTCATATGCGTTTATCAACATGCTGATTGGATAAATCCATAAATGCAAAATAATCCATTTAGGGATTTATCAAATAAAATCTGTAAATGAAAAGAAGCTGTTTTTTTTGTTATTACAATAGATCCTCATTAGTTGTTTACTTGGTAATGACTAACCCACTCTTCCTGGGTTACAAAACAACACTGTATATTGCACTCACACTACATGCAGCAGACCTCCATTATACAGTTACAGCGACAATTTCACCTCTTTAAACAATAAAATCACACACACACAAAAAAAACAAATTTATGACAGAGATATAAATAAATTTTAACAAAATAAAATAATTTTTACCATAACCTTTTACAGCGGTAATACTGTTAAATTTGCCACACAGGTTCCAGGATATGAGGGCTGATACTGATGATTAATGTCAAATATTTATCTACCATTCAAAATCATTTACAGTGTTTGAACTGAAACAACACTCGAGTGTCCCACAGCGTCACCTGTTAGCTCAGGGAAGGTGATATAAAGCTGAATGGACTTGTAGGACAGCATTTACAAGTGGACAGTTTGACTGCAGCTGACTTTTTATTTAATCTGGTAAGTGCTTTTGACACAAAATTGATGCCAAAGATACAGAGAGAGTCACACGTTTTCATAGCAGAAACTGTCACCTTCTTTGTCAAGACCTACATTTCTCTATATTATAATAATTTAACAGCTGATGCTTTAATTGAAAGCGACTTGCAACAAGTGCTTGTGGATATAATACCCTAATTGTAAAAATCATGCAAGTAACATTACATCAGTTTCTGCATGTATACTGAACTGCTTCAAGTGCTAGCTTACATTTAGAAACAAAGCTCTGGCATCACAGAGTCTGACAGGTTAGATGAGACTGAAGTTTTTGTAATTGTAAATACTTCTATACTGTTTTAAGTTGCCTTTAAATGAACAGATAGTTCAAATAGGGGATGTAAAGGTTTAAGGGTTTAAGTTCAGAACGCATCTGTATCCCACCTCTAAAATAACCTACATAGTAATTCCAAGGAGGTTTTGAGTATGCAGTGTGGTCCCACAGGAGGAGCGACAACTTAAATGTGGCTATAGGCCTACTTAATAAAACAGTAAGTGTGCACATTAAACCATTTCAAAATTCATACATATTTTTGGTTTAACAGCCAAAAAATATCAGTAGCCTAAACATGAACAACTTCCTGCCAAATTCGAAAACTAGAGTGCTAAAACGCAAATTTGCTCTGTCATCAAGTGTAAAGTCTGGAGCTGCTCCAAAAACATTGAATTGGGAAAGATGTTATAGACAACACTGAGAGCACCCAGGGGATTGTTCTGAGCATATGGGTACATTTTATGTGTCAGGACAGAGCAAGACAAAAGAATAAAGCTCATTTGGGTTTTTAAAAAATTAAAAACATTTTGTGGGTCCACAAAATCAGGTTCCCCTTCATTGTTTATGGAGCAGCTCCAGACTTTATATCCTATGATGAGGGTGCTGTTTGCCCTTTAAAACACTGTGAAGAGTGAAACAGCTTGAGAAACAACAACAGAAAAGTATTAAATCTTTGAAAAATATATGTATATTTTTTCTGGCAGTATGAACTGTGTACATAAGTGTACATATTTCATCATTTCCTGAAAGAACAAAATGGTAAAATACATAATTTATTGTAAAATAATTGCAAAAACAACGCTATGAATGCAGGCTACACACATGCTCAGTATGTTATATAGACATCTGTCGCCCTCTGGAGGAGGAATAGTGCAGTACAGTGACCACAGCCTGCTGTCTTCAAAGATCAAGCGTGCATTCCCTGTTTAAAAGTAGCTCATAGTTGAGTTCCCTCAATGTGCTTTTTTCTGTGTACTATCTATCTGCTGTCTCAGGTAATGTCTGAGGTGTTTCCTTCTTCAACTACCATAAGAATCCCCTCATATATTGCATGAAAATCAATTTTTATCACTACTTGAAACAACAAAATATTGAATACAAAAGTCAAAATGAGCAGTATATGTGAGTGCTAAACGATGTCACTGATTTATTCATGTTCGCATTCATTACTGAAGGAAATCACTGGAAATTGTTCTATACATCATTTATCCTGAGTGATGCCAGCCTGCTTGTCCTGTGCTGGATGGTCTGCAGACAGTGTTGTTGCTGTAGTGCTGTTCCCCACCATGCAAAGTGGGCTCCTGTCCTCTGGGACTTGTTTATGTTCCATTATCAGGTGCCCATT